AAATATCATACACTCTAATGGGAGAAATACCGGTGTCTCCAGGGACTGTCCATCTTGTGTATACTACACACCTCACATGCATGCAGATCTCAGGTCACAAAGTAGAGGGTGAAATATCATACACTCTAATGGGAGAAATACCGGTGTCTCCAGGGACTGTCCATCTTGTGTACACTACACACCTCACATGCATGCAGATCTCAGGTCACAAAGTAAAGGGTGAAATATCATACACTCTAATGGGAGAAATACCGGTGTCTCCAGGGACTGTCCATCTTGTGTACACTACACACCTCACATGCATGCAGATCTCAGGTCACAAAGTAGAGGGTGATATCATACACTCTAATGAGAGAAATACCGGTGTCTCCAGGGACTGTCCATCTTGTGTACACTACACACCTCACATGCATGCAGATCTCAGGTCACAAAGTAGAGGGTGATATCATACACTCTAATGAGAGAAATACCGGTGTCTCCAGGGACTGTCCATCTTGTGTACACTACACACCTCACATGCATGCAGATCTCAGGTCACAAAGTAGAGGGTGATATCATACACTCTAATGAGAGAAATACCGGTGTCTCCATGGACTGTCCATCTTGTGTACACTACACACCTCACATGCATGCAGATCTTAGGTCACAAAGTAGAGGGTGATATCATACACTCTAATGAGAGAAATACCGGTGTCTCCAGTGACTGTCCATCTTGTGTACACTACACACCTCACATGCATGCAGATCTCAGGTCACAAAGTAGAGGGTGATATATCATACACTCTAATGAGAGAAATACCGGTGTCTCCAGGGACTGTCCATCTTGTGTACACTACACACCTCACATGCATGCAGATCTCAGGTCACAAAGTAGAGGGTGATATCATACACTCTAATGAGAGAAATACCGGTGTCTCCAGTGACTGTCCATCTTGTGTACACTACACACCTCACATGCATGCAGAACTCAGCTGCTAGGTATGATCCTGCTTTTGTTGAGGATGCCAAAGCTTCACTTGTAAAAAGTGAGGCTAGAGCTCTGAAGGAGAATGTTCTCCAATTTCGGGCCATCCTGGTTGTTTCGGACCCTACTGGTGATAATTGGGCTTGAAACATATCGTAAACCTAATGAATAATTATGATTTAATTTGTTTCAGAGGCATTATCATTCATTCATTAAATTGTAGTTTTTAATATTTTTTTAGATTTCACCATCACAATACACATGGAGCTTGTTTGATTCTGTTCAAATAAACTAAATACAACACTGGTGTCAAACACCGTTTCCCAAACCTCTAGCATCAGTTTCCGGTCCCATTGGCGCTCTAAACGGAGTCTAAAGCTATAACCGTGTAAACATAAATTACCTAGGTTAGTTTAAGCCGCCCTAACACCCCCGCCCTACACGAGTGACATTGTAAGGCGCGGCGGGGCGCTGGTGTCAATATGTAATCCAGCAATCAACGGTGGCAAGTCACAGACCAACAAAGCGTTGACAAATGTGCGCAATCCGCTTAGAGGTCTTTGATCGGCACACCTGGGCCGGCACCCCGCCGCGCACACACCGCCTGTTGACTTGGACATTAATACAACAATTATATAACATGGCAAACAAATGGCACGCACTGTCTGTCGTCCGTCAGTCTTCAGGTCGGGGCTGTTGTGACAGTAACACCGCCTGGGTAAAACATTGGACGTACCAGCGGATATGATGTCAGTGCTACATTTTGGGTACTTTTGAAACTGGTGCGGTCTTTGGTCTCTTCGGCCGAACAATAATTGATTAAACTGCCAGGAACGCCAGGCCAGGTGACCGCCAGAACAGCTTGGCGCATGAGCACACGGGGATTATGGCATTTAACTTGATAGTACCAAGGGTCTTTAGCTCTGCAAGTAAAAAGCGTATTTTGATTACCATTAGACTCTTCATTTAATTAACTTTTAAACTAATTTACTGAATACAACTGTCATATGGACATTACAAAAAAAATGCATAAGAAATTGTAAAATCTACCCTTAATACTTTAATACTTTTCGATGAAATGGCGACCATACAAATTAGGTATTTTAAGCCAAATATGAATGGAGATGAATGTAGGATGAGTGGCACGATCTTGTAGTCTTGTTAGTGACTAAGGCCGACATATTCCTTAGACACAGCTGTTAATCAATAGCCCATACAGCTTATGGCAACAGTAAATAAAATAGAAGATTTAGCTTGTGCACTGAAACGTCGCTTACACCTTTGACAATTAATTGACACAACTTCAGTATCAATGCTTCAGTCAATGCTCACACGAAATACGCATCAACACATTCTTCAGATATTACAACAATGTCAGTTGTATTTATACACTATTTAAATTAAATGGTAAAATCACTTGTTTATGATACCTAACTTTGCGTAATAGCTATTTACCTTACAAGTGTAGTAAGAGCGTTTTTGTTGCATAATTTACCGAAGTGATGTAAACACGCTCTTGCGTAACGTGTAACGTACAAGATTTTACCTGACCCGACAATATACAGGAGGTTACGAACAATATTTTTCATTATCCATTTCACTCATCGTCTAACAGTAACGTTCATTTACAAACAAAAGCTAGGTTATGAAAATTCTTCAAAACATAACAATAAAATTCAAGCGCACAGCTGATTTCTAGCGTTGAACGTCGTTGGCTCCATAGAGGTATATTTTTTAAGTTAAGCACTCAATGTTATTTAAATAGGTTTCATTACATCACCGAGTGAGTTTTTTTTCAACTTTACGTCACTCGAGAAGTAACGAAGTTATATACATCACGCTTGGGATAGGGAAGATTAACGTGGCGGGTTAGGTAAACATTGTTTTTACAGTTGGTTAGTTAAAAACAGCTAATATACAGTGTTTACATTCTAATTTACGTTTCCATAACATACATATTACAGTACCTATAATTTAAAATATTTATTTCGCTGTTAAACTAAATGTTTCGCTAACAATTTCCTCAGTAAGTTGTTTAATTTGCTAGTATGCTGAGAATGGCTAATAAAATATAAATTACAAGTATTTTCTCTACGGTTTCCCTGTAGTGTTTTTTTTTTTTTTTTTTTTACCAACACGGCTGCTTGGCTATAAGCAATAAATCCTTTAATTTTCTAATGAGTTGTATAGTAAAATACGAATTGTCCAGAGGTACTTGTCAATGAAGTTTTTAGATCAAATGTTTAAATTGCCAATTGCATTTTCAATTCAACACTCGAGCACGTTACATACTACAAACATCACACACGCGCAAACGCGCTCACGCACACACGCACACTCCCTTGACCAACTAACGCACTCTGAGCTTATCTCGTTTGGATGAGGATGAACTTGTTTATATAATTAACCTCTGGAAAGACTTATATAAGTGAGATAAGAAGTGGTACGTGTCAGAACTACACGTAGCCAATACCAATCGATATCTACAACTACAACGCCTCTCTTCTCAAAATATCTGACCCATATCAACTAGTCGATCGACCCACTAATGGCAAAACATAAAAAAACTATATCTATTTATATACCCAAGCTGGTAAATATTTTCATCTGCTTTTGAAATAGCCTCTTTAAAGTACTGACACACTTTTATTTATTTAAGCAATTGGATAACTGAGTTCTGGTTTTGATGTTTTTTTTCTGTTATCTGGATATATAGACTCGTTTTGTGGTGCTGGGGGCAATAACCCAAACCAAACAAGGAAGTCAGAAATATATGGTATCCATGGCCAGACCAACTCCATCACATATTAGCACATTGATTTACAAGCTTAAAAACATACCCTTGCATGTACTCTAATAAGAAAACTGGGTATCTGAACCAAGCCAACACCACATGGTTAGATATGTGGAAGTAACTGAACCAAGCCAACACCACACGTTTAAATATGTGAAATCCCAATTATTTTTTCATTTGATTTACATAGTATTTTATTCATTTATCCTTTTAAATCGATTTGACCACTTTTACTTCAAGTCTCAAAAGGGTATAATTCATATGATGTTATAAACAGACAAATGTACGAGTATCAACCTGCCTCAAGAGCTCTGTTATAGGTAAACAATTCCTATACTTTAAAAGTAATATATTAGTCTCAAAATTGTAGTCTTAATTATTAATCTGTGCAGACATGTAGGCATACTCTATTGGTTTTAAATGTTGTAAATACTTGAATTGTTCAGTTGGTTTTCAAATATAGTCTTGGTATGGCTGCTAAATGACAGAACTACTGGCAAATATGTGACGTTTGAAGGAATTAGAGTAATAAAGGATTGCCTTTTGGTCATCCGACAAAGTGTTGTTAAAACACTCAGTGCCAAACTAGAACCCTAGAACGCTAATGTTAACTGAGTTTTTTTTACACACAGCTATGTTTTTGTTTCTATCGGAGCAATACAAATAAAATAATGAAATAAAATAATTGGAAAGGATTGAATAAGGATAATTTATCTTTACTGTTTTCAAAGTAGACTGAGTAAGGCGATGTATGTCTAGTTCAAGTCTAGTTTCAAATTATTTAGCTGTTGTTGGCTATCAACACCAATGCACCAAACGAAAGGTCACGTTTTTCAAGTTTTTAACCAAACATCCCTTTTTAAAACGAGATATTGCTTGGTTCAATTTAAAAGTATCTTTAATGGCTTTATCGTCCTAAAACGATTGGCATTTTATTCGTTTTACACAGAGAAATTCTAGAGCTTAATGCTGTATAATATTCACTCCTATTGACTAGGAGATATAGACTTTAAGCTAGATGGCTTAATGTCGGCCTTAAGAGACAGATTAACGCTAAAAACTTTCGTATTCAGACTTCGAGTGAAATTTTCGTTTAGTGGTACAGCACGACAAGTAAACATAAACAAGCACCATGAACTATGGCGACTAGTTGAATCTACTTTTTATTGAACAGGGGATAAAATTAAAAAATAACTAACTATTATATTAAGTTTATTATAAATAATACAAAATACACTGTTATGTACAAATAATACAAAATATCTTATAATTAAAAGACATAAAGATATGTTACAAACATGAGTTAAATTACTGTTACCGACAATGAATAAGGCGGAGATGCTGGTGAAACAAATAACATGAAATAAATATGGTGGTACAAACAACAAACATGAAGAACGAAGAAATTATTGATAAGGCGAAGGCATGTTTTCTTGTACAATTCAATTAGGACTAAACTTAAATGTAATCCTTAACTACTATCACAATTAAATAAATTAAAGCGACATTTCTCACGTCCTAATACAAACTTGATGAACAAATACGAGAGCGATGACTGATGAACTATTCACTAGTTTGTACAGTCTGTCTGGTTAATACTGGTGAGGTCTCGTAGCCTCAGTAGGTTGCTTCTCCGTAGAGATCGTCGAATGTTCTTCTTCACTTGAGGGTTTTGCCACATCTTGGAGAAGTCGCGGCCTCTGCCCAGTACCAGCAGGGTTTCTGCAACAACATTACAAACTGTTAAAATTATGTTTTATATATTTACTCCTATGATTATACATGTATTGTATGACTATACAATACCCATGTTATCCAATGGGTATCTTTCAATCGGTGTCTAATTAATTGTATCCATTATAGGTGTACAGATGGGCTATTGGATATTGAAGTAGACATTCCCATCTATATGGGCTAGCCTTAACTAATTTTTAGTTTAAATATAACATATTTGTATGGGCTGCTCACAGGGCTACTGCTAATGTAAAAATTGTATTCCTCTATGGTTCAAGTACTAGGATATTATATGGGGAGTAACATACTATGTTTTCAATATGGCATTCTTTCAGTTTGGTTTGATTAAAGGATCAGTGTACAGTGTTTACAGTACAACAGAAATCATTGGCCAATAAAATGATGCTATCTACAAAAAATATCTCTAATCTTTTTTTGTAGATAGCATAATTGTATTTTGTATATCTAGGTCCAGAAACAATGTCAATCGAACCAGTGAATTTGAAGGCGTGCACTATAACCACTCGGCTACCCAGACAATATTGATCATCCTAATTTGTGCTATTCTAAACTACAAACAGTAATATGAAGTAAATACTCACTGAGGTACTCGTTCTCGTCGCCGGAACACGAGTAGACGACTGCCCAGTGTTTGTAGTCCGTGTCTACTATCCAGAATGGGACTTTGATTGCGTGGAACACTGCAACACAACAACACAACAATCATGTAGCAAATCACGTACAAGCAATACAGTGTATGATAACGGCCCTCAACAAAATCTGTTTAATTTGGTTATCGAACCATGATTAGTTTATGGTGACTGTTCACGAATGTTAAAAAGCATTGGTTCACTAAACCTCAAATCCAATGAAATGTGATGTGATACACCGTCTGTTAATTATTAGTAGGTAGTAGTGTTATCTCAACTGAAAGTTATGATCTGAAAATTTAACTATTCAGAAATAACAGTATAAAAAAAGAAAACATTAAAATATTCCATGATATGTAGATCTAGATTGCAGGAGTCGCAACATCAACAACACAACACAGTCGTTGTGTATCGTAAATGTTGCGTTCTCATCTGAGGTCTTCAGAGGTCGTTCATTGACAGACGCTAGTGTTACACCGAACATCTCAAGGCCTGTTGAAGGCTTGTCCGGGTTACTAACATGGTTCAGTTTAGTATAACCTTGCTAAGTGTCCAGCAGTGTCTCTATAAGTATAGATTGTAGATGAGATGTTAACAATATAACTTACTCCACATGGTGATCTTGCCCTCGTTGGGCTCGTCTTGCCACGCGTGGTGTGAAGAGCTCTGAGCTCCGATCCTGAAACCCCAGACCAATTAGATATTGGTTGATAGCAATGACATATCTTAAACCAAACAAAGTAGCAAACGACAGTTATACCACCTAATTTAGATAATAGCCCTACATTTCGATGAAGCTACATGTCTACATAAATGCCATACATATACTTGAATAAACATTTCACTAGCAACTAAATAAAAAACAAATAATTTGTAATTTAACTAAATTGAGTTAATCAGTTCTGTTATAAGCATATAGGAAGACGTGGAGAACCTGATACTTGCGAAAATATTTTGCAGTTCTCAAATTTTGCAAAGACAACCTTGCTCTCAATGTACAAAGACATTGGTAACGTTTTTGTAGACGGCTCTGTACAGTGATAAAAATAAACAAACTAACATCAGAGACGGCCATGGTAGAAGCCTTGCTGATTTGTATTAAATAAATCAATATTCTATGAATGTTAAGCGATAAGGGCTTTACACCAGGTCATGGATTAAGTATCGCGGGGTCAGCAACCTATTTAATGGATAGGCTCTTTACTTCACAACACAACACAATTATTTAAATTTTTGCTATGAATATAATAATTTTAGTTCTGATTAATTGTTCTCCTTGTTTCAAGGAGGCTTCAATTTCGTTTGACTCATCCTGCAGCAACACCAGACACACATCTAGTACATCTAGTGTCTAGAAGTAAGTGTCTATCTGGAGTATACTGTTTAGTGTCTAGTGTTGGTAGTATGGCTATGGTGTATAATGTAGCCTCTACGTACTATTGCTATGTAATACAGTATCTTAAGAAGTAGACTAGTAATATCAATATCTAGTGACTCGGTGTCTGGTGTTGTAGTGATAACAATAACATACTTATGTGGTAGTCTGCAAGGAACAATATTTTTAGAATCTAAGTGTCAATGTATGATGTCTAGGTGTCTAGTATTGTAGTCTGTAGCCACAGTACTAGTGACTAACGTCTAGAATCTAGTGGCAATGTGTGATGTCTAGGTGTCTAGTAGTATTGTAGTACTAGATGTAGCTACAGTACTATATAGTGACTAACGTATAGAATCTCGTGTCAATGTGTGATGTCTAGGTGTCTAGTACTGTAGTATTGTAGTCTGTAGCTTCTAGTGTCCAGTGTCCAGTATCTAGTGTTTAGTGTCCAGTGTCCAGTGTCTAGTGTGCAGTGTCCAGTGTCCAGTGTCTAGTGGCTAGTGTCCAGTGTCTAGTGTTTAGTGTCCAGTGTCCAGTGTCTAGTGTTTAGTGTCCAGTGTCCAGTGTCTAGTGTCCAGTGTCCAGTGTCCAGTGTCTAGTGTTTAGTGTCCAGTGTCCAGTGTCTAGTGGCTAGTGTCCAGTGTCCGGTGTCCAGTGTCCAGTGTCTAGTGTTTAGTGTCCAGTGTCCAGTGTCTAGTGTGCAGGGTCTAGTGTCTAGTGTCTAGTGTGTACATCACTCACTTGTCAGAGATGCTCTCCTCAGTAATGGTAATGTTTCCATTGTTGTTGCTGATTGTCTCCTTGGAGCACTTGCCCTTGATGTCACCAGCATGTACATTGGACCATCCCATCAGCGGGTACCACACACCGGCGTACTGTCAACAGAAACATCTTCACGTTAATAAATACCGTATGCTTAATAAGTGCAAAGGCAAGACGAAACCTGAATAATTGAGTGTTATAACTATGTTTTTACCAGATCTAGTGGTGTATTGTAGGTTGCCTTTGGCCCTTGAATTTATTTTAACATCAGAAGAAAAGAATTTACCTACTACCATAAGTATTCGATAAGTATCAAGTAAGTATTTGGTGAATTATATTAGAACAGCATTATATTAATTAGAATAACGTTATACAAGCTGCTATACCCGTGCTTTGCAACGGGAAGAATATGTGACCTAGAGAGCTATTAAAGTGGTGCAGATGTGTGTTTTAAAATACAGTAACTCTATGATTAAGTTTGAAAATATAAACTGATTTAAAAGCGTAAACCTACTTACTTTCAAACCCCTACTTATGATGTTAATAGATCCATAGGTATTTGACAACACACCTTAGAGTAGCAATAGCATCAATTGCTTCATATTGATGTTTTATGAAAGACGTGTTTTATTATAATTCTTCAATTTTTAGTCAAGCTTCTTCACATGTAGCTTACTATATAATTTAAAACATGAAACTTTGAGCAATACTTTACAAAACGTATACAACCTCACTTTAAAACCAAACATAACCCTCCTCGATCTACATAAAGCGCCACAAACATATTTTTCGAGTAAATAAACAAACACCAGTTCATTGTACTGACCAGCTGTTTCATTAATTAAATTAAAATAAATCATTTAAACATTGGGAGCATGGCAGGCGTAGCCCTTTGGAAATCAGCCTGTGGGGCAGAGCCCTTAGGAAATTCGTCCATATCAATACTTTTCGGCAAATCTACACACTCTTAGCATCATCTTGATGTGCCATATGTCTATGTTTTTATTTGGTAAATGACCTTAACCGTTTACATAAAATTTGATTGTATCACTTTAATAATATAATAGATTCCATTTAGTAGAACCAGAAACCACGTCTAATTGAATGTGTTGATGTCTGTAAAATGGATTGTTGTGTTGATCTTAGTCACTAACATGACATTGTGATTCCATAATTTATATCAACAGTAGGAGTAGAATATCATGCAATGTTATTTTTATAAATTACACATAACACAAAATAATATGTAATTTTGATTGATGAACGAACATACATCAGTAGCGGTATTCATATACTCACTTCGTCTAGGTTGAAGTCGAGCATGAGCCCATGAAGTACCTTGCAGGGCCCATGTCCTTGTACAGTAACTGCCATCAGCCCCACTTCCCATACTATCAGTGTCTTCCACATGTCTATCTGAGAACATAATACACAACTACAATCAGTCACAGTTTGATAAGCAGTCCTGTCTCGTCAGCTCTACCACTGTTTGATAAGCAGTCCTGTCTCGTCAGCTCTACCACAGTTTGATAAGCAGTCCTGTCTCGTCAGCTCTACCACAGTTTGATAAGCAGTCCTGTCTCGTCAGCTCTACCACAGTTTGATAAGCAGTCCTGTCTCGTCAGCTCTACCACTGTTTGATAAGCAGTCCTGTCTCGTCAGCTCTACCACTGTTTGATAAGCAGTCCTGTCTCGTCAGCTCTACCACTGTTTGATAAGCAGTCCTGTCTCGTCAGCTCTACCACTGTTTGATAAGCAGTCCTGTCTCGTCAGCTCTACCACTGTTTGATAAGCAGTCCTGTCTCGTCAGCTCTACCACTGTTTGATAAGCAGTCCTGTCTCGTCAGCTCTACCACTGTTTGATAAGCAGTCCTGTCTCGTCAGCTCTACCACTGTTTGATAAGCAGTCCTGTCTTGTCAGCTCTACCACTGTTTGAAAGTTTCAAAGAGAGAACACATCCATTTATAGATATTTATTTATAATATTTACTCTCGTTACATTACAAACTTTACCGTCATCAACTTGAAATGTCACAATGCCAGTTTTGGCCTCGAGTGCAAGTGAGTGTTATGACTTTGACAGATGACTATGACATTATGTCGGCACAACAATGCAGCTAATGCCTCATATAGGTCAGCCAATCACCATTAGTTCAAGGTCTCTGAGCCGGCCTTCCTCAATTGTGATTGACATTAACTTAACTCTTCCGCTCTCCCATTGACAAATTTCCTTGTCTTAATGTTTCCGTGTTGTTCCATTGCGGGAGTTTCGGCTGTATATATCCTTGTTTATATTGAGTATTATAATTTTAAGGCTGATAACAAAGAGGAAAATGCATACACAGTGGGAAAACTGTGGACCCCTCTTTATCACTCAGTAAACAAGTTATAGGTTTTATGAATGTATAAAAAAATGTTATCTCAGTAAGGTCAGTAGGGCCAAAATAAATCAACTATTACAATGTCTATTGTAGGTTAAATAAGCGATAAAATAGAAAGTCGTATTGCATTAACCTTGTACGATTTTAGTGTTAATTATATTTACAGACCAACCTTTTTCATGAATTAATCATCGTCACATTAAAGTCAAATAAAAATATACACATGTTATGATCAAAATTATTCGACTCTCCCTCATAAACTACAGTTTCGTTTTACGAATGTATCCTATATAGTTGATCAGACGATCCATGAGCATCTTTCGGCTGCGTTGTTTGTCTTTCCATGGCGTCAAAGGATTACTTGTAAAGGCATTTTTGTATTTTATCATATTTGTTTGGAACCAGATTACACTAATCATGCTGCGACAATCATTAAATATTGGCTTTTACAGTGTCTAATCAGGGTAGGAAACATTCTTGGCCAAACAAATGTTCAATTATTTCAAATAAGTAAAATCAGACTACAATAATATATGGAGTACACTATAAGTTTATATTACCGTAGGAATAGTCATGTTTAAAATAAGTAGACCCTGCAATTTATGGACGCATTAATAAAAAAATATACAAACTAGAAACTGTTAATGTGTTTTAACAAGTAATGAGTGTTATATAGTTGTATTTATATTTTTATTAGCCAACAATATTTCAAAGAAAATTGTCTATAAAAAACTTTTATATATTGAAAATGATTGCTATAGTTTACTTACGACTAAAATAAATGTTTTTATACGGGATTAGACCTAGAACTCTATAAAAGAGTTCTACAATGAGTTTAATGCCCTGGTTAACATTACCTCACCTTCATCTAGGCCTACACATAAAATAATTCAGAAGGCATCCCAACAGAACACAAGGCAGGTACATCTAGCACCATTGTTGTTAAACAGCTTTAGGGTGGGTTAGAGTAGGTACGGATTTTCTATGCTCAGAAGGCACTAATTTAATTTTTTTTAAATTATAATTATTTTTGTAAAATAATCAAAACAATAATAATACGCTACTTAAGATTTGATTATTCGGTACACTAAATGTTAGCTGGAGAGTTTGACTACAAGTAAACTAAGCAAACACCAACCTTTGAATGTTGTGTCCGGCGCGAGTGCAGTTCAGTGAGCGCGAGCAAACAAACGAATGAAGCCAGCGACTATCCGTCCACCGAAGACAAGCGGCTTTTTAGAATTAAGGTCGTAGCTTGGCGGAGGGGAGGGGGTGTGGCGGCCCCCATTAGCTATTATCAGTGGTGATAGTAGCTGTAGCGGCGCGGTGTAGCAGCACGTAGACACTGGGCGATGCACTGTAGATGCCCTCTGACTCTGAGCCACGCGCCGGCCAACGACGTCGACGACACCGTCACCACCACGTCATCGCCTCTGACAAGTACTGATCTTCCGCAACTTACAGTAGGCTTAGGTGTAATTTCCAAGGAATACTTGGTTTGCTGAATACTCAAATAACTACTGAGGACAATACTTTATTACTGGACTGCGGAGGTGAGTGAGACGTTGGCAGTCGGTAGAGCAAAGGCCTGTAAAAACAAAATAATCATGTTACGAATCCGCAATCATTGCATTACCGCTAATTCTTGTACTCTACTGGCCCATTCCTTGTTTTGCTAGAGACGCTCAGTGCTCTACCCACTGCCCATTGAAACTCATCAGGACGAGCAAACTCTCTGTACAATCCTTCTTAGCTGGAAATACTGTTACGCTGTCAATGTGTTTTTTTCTGCCAGATGCCAGAATAAAAATGGTAGCTCAGTTGGCCAAAGGGCAGAGGGTGGAATGTTTCAAATAAAGGCATTGAACAGATTATTGAAACCAAAATCTCAATTTTGTGTCCGTCTTTGAAAATCTAATTATGTATTTTGACCAGTAGAAGCTTTCAACATTGTAATTAGGTAATTAATAAATTTAAAATGTAGTAAAATGTTTATTGTAAATTTATTTGTGAATCAGATTGTTTTTTTTTGTGGATTTACCAAGAAAGGAATAAGCTATTACCATAATTTCTCATTCTAAGACCTGGACCCGGGACCGATTTACTTATTCGATTGCTGTCCCTAGAGGTAAAAAAACATAAAAACATAAAATATAAAAACATAAAACTTCGAAATATTATTCTAAACCATTTTGAAGAATTTAAAAAAGGAATAATTTAGTATATTGAAGCGTTGTTGTAGGGCTAACGGTTATGGAGGAAATTAAAAAAATATAAATTATAAATTTCCATGTTAGTTTTATGAAAAATCAATTAACTGTTGCCGTTTGCCTGCTATGGACATATTTTGATCGAATTTGGCCAATTTGTTTGTTTCATACTAAACTATATACTTTTTAATTAAAAAACACATCTTTTTACCTTACCTGTAGCAGAAAACCTAGGTAGGCATTAAAAGTAAAGTTATTTTAATATAAAATAAATCCGACAACAGTTTAGTGTAAATCTAGCCAAATGGAAATTCGCTTAGTCTACAGGTTTACTGCTGCGGGTTATCTATACTTATTGAATTTTATTATAAATCTAAGATATAAATAATCGTGTTTGTGTAGAATATAGTATAGCATAGCAAAGCACAATGAAGAATAGGTACTCGAAATGAGAAATGTAAGATGTTATTTTTGCCAAGCACTGCACCTCGACTGTGAGAAAATCATCAGGAAGACTCAAGATAGGAAGGTCATGCTCCCTCGAAACGTGTCTAATAATCTTTTGTACGAGGTTTTCATGGACAACAACAACACATACAAACGTTATTGCCTATATCATTCGGAAATACAACAGTGCCATGTAACTTGCATAATTTGTTGCCAATGAAGCCGGACAACCTTATAATGGCCACGTCCCGTAATAACAGAGTAATTACAGAGCTCAAACAAGTCTGTTTCACATCCACAAAATGTCAGAGTAGGAGTAGATATGGAGGGGCAACTGATATTCGCAAAAACTCCCCGAACGATTTCGATAAACATTTAGTATGTTATAGCCCTTTACATTCTGAACAAAACTGTAAAACTCCCATTGCTATAAGAATTGCGGTCCAAAAGCCATTGTAACTATAATGTTATTTTCCCCAAAAAACACTTAAAATAACGGAAAATAGTATTTTTGAAAAAAACAGGTTTGATTTAAATAAGTATGTTATGATTCTTTAAATTCTAAACAAAATAGTGCAACCCCCATTGCTGTAAAAATAACGGTTCAAAAGTTGTTGCAACTTTTGTGATTTTCCTTATAAAATATCATACAGTAGTTACTCCCATCCATGATAAAGGTTGTTGAAAAGTAATGGGAGAAAGTATATGTCAGATTGCAGATACCGTTTATTTTTCCAATGATTAAAAAAGTTAGAGATTCATTATTTCAATAATTTCACTTTAGCAATCGTATGCCTAGTTCGCTGAATGTGCTTGCAATCTAAAAGTAACCTCAATTTTGACGGGGTTCACCTAATTTATTTGATTCTTAAATAACAAAACATCTAAAAACAAAACGAAATTTAAGCAGATGGAAACATGTGAAACAATCATGGAACTTAAAAATATGCGAGGTTGAAGTTATGCCAATTTTTATAACTAGGAGGAAATTGTATTGGCTACGAAACTGAGCTGTCGAGGCGGAAAACTGAAGGCATTTCCGATATCACACAATTAGTGTGATAGTGGGTTCCCAACTCTGTTTCGATCTAGTCACAAAACAGTTGAATCATGTGTACAAAATACTCGTACTAACAAAAATACTAGTGTGCCTGTTGCTCGAAATTGAGCAATTGTCAAGTACCAGTATTATACAGGAGTTATTAAAAACAAATAACAGTCATCTTCTATGAGTGCTCAAAATCGACCAATTGTCAAGTACCGTTATTATACAGGCGTTATTTAAAACTGCAGTAATAACAGTCATAATTTTCGATTTAGATAAGTTTAAGAGACTCAAAGCTTATGTAACTAAATTGAAATACTCACTCTATTAATAACGGGTTGAAATAATAAACACTTATTGTAAAAATATTTTATCATTTTTTAGAAGGTGGCCTTATTTTCAGTGTTCATACAAATGTTTACCGACTTATAGCTGTTACCAGTAAACATTTATTACATGTATTCATTTGATCTGACATTAGGTAGGTTTTCTTTACCACTGTGACAACATGATTTGTATGTTCTTCATGATTTCTTTACTTGCATAATAAGTTGCATAGCAGATCTGGTAAAAATTATACATCCCTCCAAGTGATTGTGTATCAGGATTCCTTACTTAGACGTTAGACCATGCCTCTCTTCTACTCTTCTTATAAGTATAAGATTTCCTCCCAACCTTCTCCTGTTTTCAATTCTTCTTCTTTAAACTCAAGACAATTTCTGTTCTTCCTACGAAACTGATCAACTGTTTGGATTGGTCTATAACCTCCTGAATATTACAAACATAAATATTTATTTACTCCCAAGAAGCTGATGAGTTTCTTTTTATATACAGCTGTTTTTTTTTGTTTTTTTTATTTGTTCGATGTAATTCTTATGGTGAAAACCCGACCTTTTGAAAGGGTCTCACGCCCTTAAGGGTAGGAACCTTAAAATTCTAAAACCTTAATGCAAAACTACGAAGAGAACCGAATCTTTTGACACCTTAAAAGGGGATATGTCAGTGAAAATGCTAACTTCCTTAACATTATCACTAGGTCTTTCAAACTTATACCATGTGTTTTATAGGCATAAGAATAGCATCGTTCCTGAACAAGTATTGTTCACAAAAAACAGCCCTCACGTATCAATATAAGAGACTAGAGAACTCGTGCGGTTCAATGAGCCACATAGTATGAAACATAACGCCAAGGAAAACGTTATGCTTAAATTCAAGTAATTCCAATTACATCCTTAGAGTTGTTAACATCGATAAAAGTAATTTTTTTTCGTTAAGTACCTACACCCTTAATATTTGTTGTTGTTTTTTTTAGGTAATTAACTAAATTTGATATAACTTCAGTTCTAATTATTGGATTTTAATCATTAAACCATCAGTTTGCAGGGAATAATGCCCTCTAAATATTTAGGTAGAATAATAACAGTATATTTATTTATTACTTTTTATGGGTCATTTTGTAATTAAAAAAAAAAAAAATTGGTTTTCTTTGGAAATAAAAAGCCTTTTTCTCACTTTAGAATGGACATACATTTACAATTCTACTTCTTTATTCTATTATTCTATTATTTAGATAATAACATTCTAAACACTTGGTAAAAAATTTGAATCATGTAGCATAAACAGTTTTGAAGATATATCAAATTTAGTACCGGTAGTTAAAAACGTTAAAAAACTGATGAGCGGGAATCGCACGCTAAAAGATACACTTGGCAGTGTAACCATGGTGACACTTATTGTTGAGGTATGGATCAATTTTTTGTTTATGCAAGCATTTTATTATCCTATACTCTAATACGAGCAATGTTTGCTTGTATGTATGTATGTATGCTTGCTTGCTTGCAAACAAGATCTCGAAAACGGCTCCGACGATTTTCTTCAAATGTTGTAAATAGTTTATTTCTGGCCTAAAAACGAGTTTACTGCAGTTAGAACTGCCAACAAAAATCTAATTACGTAGAAAAATGAAACTGAAAATCACATTTTTTAACATTAGTCTTATGGGTTGCTAGGTAACCATGTTGGTTGAATTAAATAACAAGGAAAAAGTAAACAAAAGACTTGAAGTTGTAGCATGTGTTCATAAGCCAACTACCCACAGTATACTAGCAAATTGCAAATACAGTACAAAAGGAAAAACATCACTTGTTAATATTTAGCAAAGATTATACTGAAGATTACTCGATACATTGTAGTCAAGGGTAGCAGTGCGAAGTCTGGAATCTGTTTATGACGAATAGATTAAGGTATCTGCAATCCTAAAATGCTATGGGAAGGGAAGGAAACAGGTCCGCGACGTAGGAAGTGGTGAGAGAAGTAGTAAAGGCAATCATAAAATAATATGGGAATGGAGGGAAAAAGGTCCGTGACGTAGGAAGTGATGAAGGAAGTAGTCAAGGCGAGCTGTCCGGAGTGTGGGAACTGTTTATGACGATTAGATAAGGGTATGGGCAATCCTAAAATGCTATGGGAAGGGAGGGAAACAGGTCCGTGACGTAGGAAGTGGTGATGGAAGTAGTCAAGGCGAGCTGTCCGGAGTGTGGGAACTGTTTATGACGATTAGATAAGGGTATGGGCAATCCTAAAATGCTATGGGAA